AAAAAAAAAAAAAAAAAGAACAGAGGTTTGTCTCGCTTTTCTTTTTTTTTTTGAGTCAGTCTCATTCTGTCACCCAGGTTGGAGTGCAGTGGCACACTTACGGCCACCACAGCCTCAAGCTGCTGGGCTCAGGCAATCCTTTCAAGTAACTGGAACTACAGGCACGTACCACCACACCCAGCTAATATTTTTTTGCTTTATTGTAGAGACGAGGTCTCATCAAGTTGCTCAGGCTGGTCTTGAGCCCTGGGCTCAGGCAATCCTCTCACCTCAGCCTCCCAAAGTACTGGGATTGTAGGTGTGAGCCACCGCGCACGGCTTGTCTCACTTTTCTTAGTAGTATAGCAGGACAACAAAGACTGCTGCTTCCTGCCAGCCAAGAGGCCTGGACCATGCCTCTGCAGCATTTTGTGTACTGCCCATAAATGATGGGGTCCAGGCTCTCATTAGCTCCCTTTCTGTCTCAGCATTTAGTGGCTGCATGAGTCACCAGTCTCGGTCTCCAACATGTTTCTCCAGAGGTTTTAATACATTCACATCCAAAGTATCTCTAACTATGAAAATCCCAGTCCCTCCCCCACCTCCAGTGTTGAAAATCCCAGTTTTAACTGTTGCCTGGCCTTGCTGATAAGTCTGTACACAAATACCGTTGCCTATACCACACCACATGGCTGATATCAACACCCAGCTACTGACCTGTGTTTGTCTAAAAGAATTTACCAGCCGGGCACAGTGGCTCACGCCTGTAATCCCAGCACTTTGGGAGTCGAAGGCGAGGATTGTCTGAGCCCAGGGGTTCAAGACCAGCCTGGGTAACATGGCGAGACCTTGTCTCTACAATAAATCAAAAAATTAGCCAGGGGTGGTGGCGCACGCCTGTAGTTCCAGTTACTTGTAAGGCTGAAAGGCTGAGGAGGAAGCATCGCTTGAGCCCAGAAGGTTGAGGTTGTGGTGGTTGTAAACATGTCACTATACTCCAGTCTGGACAACAGAGTAAGACTCTGACTCAAAAAAAAAAAAATTTACTGTACTCCATTCACTTTAGAAATATTAACAGTAATTAAGGCATTTATTTTTATTTAGAGTCTCAATCTTTTGCTCAGGTTGGAGTACAGTGGCACAATCACTGCCACTGCAGTCCTGACCTGCTGGGCTCAGGCAATCCCTCTGCCTCAGCCTTCCAAGTAGCTGGAACTATAGGCACGTGCCAACGCACTTAGCTAATTTTTTAAATTTATTGTAAAGATGAGGTCTTACTATGTTGCCCAGGTTGGTCTTGAACCCTGGGCCCAGGTAATCCTCTCACCTCTACTTCCCAAAGTGCTGGGATTACAGGTATGAGCCACTGTGCCCGGCCAGCATTTACTTAATTTAATGTCAATGAACTAAACTCCAACTAAAGAGCTTCCCTAGAGGAATACTCCCTCCGCATTTCACGTTGAAGAAAGTACACAAGTCAAAATCCTAATATTCGCATTTTTTAAATATAAGATCCATTCTGTGGCCAATATTCAATGTGAATGCAAAATCCTGGGCTTGAGACAGACCAGCCTGGGACACCACTCTGAATGTCACTAGTTCAATGAGTCCCCCAGAGTCTCTTCACAGTCTGACTCCCCTGCTCCCCGCCCCCCCAACCTCCACATGACAGCTAGACTCTCAAGACAATAAAACCCAGCCTTGCCTAACCACTCCCTGGCAACCACCTTCCCAGGAGGGCCTCCTCAACTCTCTCCAGCTTTGTCTCTTGATCCTCTTACCTGTCACTCCCCAAGTCTTGGGTCAGCTGAACGTGAACATACTGAGCATTCCCTGACCATACCTCTGCTGAACTTCGTGCAGCTCCCATTTTCTGGACGCCACCATGCTTTTGCACATTCAGTTCCTTTTACCTGCCACCACCTCCTCCGGAGAGCTGTGGACTTGTCACTATCACTACCCCGAGCCCACAGTAGATCATAAATCTAAGGGCAGGGACGACCACCTCTTACTCATCTTCGTTTTACCAGAGTCTAATGCACAGTAGTTCATAAATGTAAAATAAATAGTCTTGAGCTCTTGTCAAAGAATCCCTTTGCTCCTAACTTCTATCTTCAGAGTTTAGTGCGTACTCAGATTCTGACAAATAGGCTTACAGGTAGGGCTGCCTATTTCTTTCTTTCTTTTTTTTTTTTGAGTTGGAGTCTCACTCTGTCACCCAGAATGGAGTGCAGTGGCCGCTCCTGGTGCAGCCTTGACCTGCTGGGCTCCGGCGATCCTTCCGCTTCTGCCTTCCAAGTGGTTAGAACTACAGG